TTGTTTAGAAAAGTGGTAGCTAGATTTAAATAATTATATAGATAGAGTCAAAGATTAAATATACAAACAAAACTAATATAACGAAAACATGTAAGTGTATTGAATCGTACAAAAGCGTTAATTTTATCTGTTGCCTTGTATTTACTTCGCATCTTGTAAATTCTTTCCGCACCATGATTCCAGCGCTGTTTCTACGTTGATTGAACAACATTGTTTTGACATCTATTTATTGTTGAAAGTCCGACCGAATTCAGTCAAAAAAAAACACTGACGAAGTCAACACCGTTATCAATTGACACTCTGCCAACCCATAACTAAATTATTATTGGCTTATTGTGTAAAAGTGCAAGCAGTACTGTTTTTAATCATACGGCGTAAATGTTTTAAAGTTCATTCACTAGAATTACGAAGAATGGAATTACTTTTCTAAGGAAACAAACAACAATTTTGTTGAAAGGTTTGCACTTTAAGAATAAAAGTTCGGGCTGGCTTTACCAAGTGAGTGCACAGCTACTTATTCAAATGACTATGCAGCTGTAATTCAAAACATTTGCTGCTGAACTACCAAAGCTACTAAACAGGTGGTCAAGAATAATCATCTGAAATTATTATACGGTGTGATGGCTTCAACGTCCACTTTTCTACGTCATTTAATTCCATGATATGACGTCGGTTTCATTTTATTAGTTTCTGAACAATTTGTGTAATTTTATAAGTAAGCATCAAATAACATAGCTACTGTTGAAGGGAGCAAGGAAATTTGCAAGTGTATGGTAATGCTCTTCGCTTCAAATTTATAAACAGTCATTGTCTAACACTATTTTCAAAACAACAATTTGCTATCTTCGTTTCAAAGTTATGAAACACAGCATTTTATTTACCACATAGTCGGCTCTGCAATGCCATGCCAGAAAAACGCTGTGCTTTAAGTTTGAATTGCGTAAGTCAAGCAATATTTTGTAATAGCCGATGAATTTTGACGCATCCTTTGTTAATGCATGATGATTAGAAATGCTTGCATATATGAGGCTCTTCATAAACCCTCGATATTTTAAAGAATCTTAAGCATGATGATAACGGATAACACTTAAAAATCTTTAAAAATCTTTGCAATCAAAATGTGGAGAGCAGTTTGTGAAAATCTTGGAATTGGGCAAAGTATAATCCAGATTTTGTTATTCTTCAATTATTCTTTTCTGAATTCGAGTTACACATGCAATTTAAAACATGTTGACGTTGAATGAAGTCGTCTAAAAAATGCAATTTTTACTGATGATATTTAGTAGAGTATTTTAATGCTAGTATGAAATACTTGAAGTCACAATTTTATCGGCAAAAGATGCATGTTAAGCAGCCCAGCTACAGACGACTTCATTCAACGTCAACATATTTTAAATTGCATGTGTGACTCGCATTCAGAAAAGAATAATTAAAGAGTAACAAAATCCGGATTATACTTTGCCCAATTTCAAGATTTTCACAAACTGCTCTCCACATTTTGATTTGAAAGATTTTTAAAGATTTTGTAGTTTCATCCGGTATCATCATGCTTAAGATTTTTAAAATATCGAGGGTTTATGAAGAGCCTCATGCATGCATTACAAAATATCGAAATAAGACTCTTTAAAATATAGATGTTTTATCATTAACCTTTGTGAGTTGCAAGCTTAGATTGTATATTACCATATTACAACATAGTAGTTGTCTACGCACGCTAAATAAAATATTAAAGGACATGGGACATATATTTTTTCATGTCGCGATATCATTCATTGCAGTTTAGTATTCCGTAAAACATTATTTTTCCGGTTTGAAAATATATATTTAAAGCGCAATTTAGAATGAAAGTTTGCTTATTTCAAGGGCTGTTCCGCCATCTTGAAATGAGCAGCCAAAATAATTATATTTCATATGTGACGTCACAACAGGGAGACTTTGTCGCTGATGAATATTGTTTATATTGCAAATTGACAAGCATTCTCATTTATTACGCAAAGTTTGGGACTTTACACTGCTGTTATAGCACTCAAAATGGAAAATATTAACAAAGATGCTATGGTTCAGTCATATATGTTTGAGTCAATGCCAGATGAATTTGTAGAGAGTGAGAATTCTGACTCAGAAAGTTCTTCGTCGAGCGAAGTAGATGATCAGATAGACGAGGAGTTTGAAGCTATGTATAGTTGGCGTAAAACTTCACTCAGTTGCTGTAAATGCGGCCATTGTGAGTTTATGGCAAAAACGATTGAATGCTTTTGCTTTCATGAAAAGCGGTTGAATATGACGAATATGATGGCAAACTTAAATCGGCACAGGATGCAGGCTTGTCTTGCGTGACTGAACTTGCTTTCTTCAATCAAACATATCGGCAAATGTCCTTGAAATAGATACTTGGCAGTATATTGAAGAAAACAGTCCGTTAGGTGATGACGAACTTGCAGTCATACAAAAAATATACCGTCATGTTGCGTATCGAAGATGTTCGAGATGGATTTTCCATATTCTTGGCAAGAAATGTCGAAGGCCATTTCCATCTTTGGGCGTCCACATATGACGCACAACTTTACCATCCCGTTTCTACCTACATCCTACCGCAATGACGCATTGCGGTGAGGAAGTGTTCTCTTAACATGACTATACTATTTTACATCAACATAATATCCGTTATATCTTATAATCTATAATATGACACAGTCACACACTACACAACATAACATTACAATTTACAACAAAATCTGCTGTCTACAAAAATACAATTCTTAAAACTTTCTTCTATTTGTAATCATCTCTCAGACTTTGGCGAATATGTTTCATGAAGCTTTAGCTGTCATATTTGTTGATGTTTTTAATCGTCTACGATTTCCTACGAGTGGAAATGAAAATGGACACGAACAAGCTCCGATACAACCATACAAAATGTATACTGAATATATAAATATATAACTTATTTTTCTTTATTTATTTCATTATATATATTGCATGTACATGATGTAAAAAAAGTGTGAAAAAACGTTTTTTTAAGAATAATTCACAATGACTTCATCAAAACACATATAAAAGTATATTGTGTTACCAGATATGCCTCCCAGTTGTGACGTCATTGCATAAATCTGCATATCACATTATATTCAAAACAAATCAAAATGGCCGCGGAACTTTTAAATTGGAGTCAGAAAACCTTTGTTACATGAAGACAAAACTTTGGTTGAACTAACAAAGGTATATTATAAGTCTATGCGATATTTCCCGTTAATTAAGCCTAACTTAAAATATACGTTCCATGTCCTTTAAGTTTACTTTAGTAACACAACAGAACAGCGACTGCAGTCAAGGAAAACCTTGTTCATATGTTATGATAATAATGGTGGCAGGATAAGTAATATTGAAAATTCAAGAAAATCGTCGAGTGTGCCATATTGTTATCACTTTTGATAATGTCAAAACCCATTTCTTAACAAGAACATAGCTACGGCATTAGCTTTAGAGCATAAGAAATATAATCTTTTCAATTAAATTTGTCAATGTTTGAAGGTCAGTCGAAGCACGTTGCTTCAGACGATCTTATTAGGGCTCACAAATCATAACAATAAAAAACTTATGTTATGCAAAGAATCATTTTCGTTTGAAATTTATACAAACAACATGCAGAAAGGATTTAAAAACGCAAATGGAAACGACGTCGAATAAATGACGTTGTGTGACGTAGAAATTCGATATTGGAGTCATCGTGTCACGTAATGTAAATTTGTTATTCGAGGATTGTTGACGTTATGCTCTGTATGTATATATTGTATAATTTAGTTCAAATGTTTTGACCCTAAGAAAACCAATTAAGTACTTGAGCATGATAATCATCATAATTAAATATGGTTGAATCATCGCTTGCTATGTTGTTATAACGGAATTGAATTCGATTGCACGTATTTCAAATTTTCCTAAAAATCAAACGTAAAAACATCTTCGTCGAATTATTACTTAAACAGTGTTAGAAGAAAAGCATTGAATGACATCCAACGAGACAAATACAATGCAAATAAAACAATCTTTGAAAAGCAAGTGCATGTCGTCATCTAATACACTTTAAACATAAACTAACATATGGTCATAACATTTGTTACTTTGCTAAAGTAAATCATGTCGAATGCCTTCCCGTTTTCTAACTTCATTTTCTTTTCTCTTAAACAAAAACAGAACAAATTTAAGAAATTTAGTTGGTGAAAAAATATAGACAACTGCAGACTATGATATTTATGGCTTTTATACTACAACATACGTCAAGCGAACAAAGGAAAATGCTCCTAATCTTCTCTCATTCCAAAGTGTGTTTTAAATGAGTGCATTTGATACACTGCAGAATGTAGTAACTAAAATGTTTAAATGTAGGCTATAAATACATATTGCAGCATTCAGATAAGCTATATGTTAAATGACGTAACAAAAACACGTTTCTGCAGCAGCGTATAATGTGTTGTTTTCATAGTTGTTATTTTACTTCAATCGATTTATCATCAAAAGAAATCATAATTTATGGAAAGAATGGCGCATCTAAAAAATTATTACGTATTATACCAATTAATTGGTTTTATGAAAACATATTACATTTGTTCCACAGATTTCCATATTTAAGATAACAGTTTTTTACGTAATCAATCAGGTTAACAAACATCAAAACTACGTATACAAACATCGCAAAATTCAAGAACTTAATATACTGTCAAGAAAATGACGTGAAAATAAAGTTGTTTTGAGGTTAATCGACCATATAACCTAAAGTATACTTTACATTGACGTCAAGACAAAACGTATATCTATTGAAGGAAAATTACTGAAGCTAGTGTTTACATCTATTATGACGTCATGAGTACACGTGAAAGTTACAATAAAAGTGATGCAAGCCGATGACTTCTTCGAAACCAAAGTTTCAGAGTCTTATTTAGATAAGATAAGTCGTTCGTACTTATTTGGATTATCTCAGTGAATTGTAAATTATTTTCCAAATAATGGCAACATCACTGGAAGTGCTTAACAAACAAATTTATTGGGCTGCTGAAAGCTACTCTAAATATAACAATTTTCAACTACAACAAGGCAAGAAGTTCGCAGCAAAAGTTGGCGTTAAACAAGATGATAAAATTTTAGATATGGGCTGCGGAACGGGAGAGCTGACCTTGTGTATCGGAGAGATTGTTGGAGAAAAAGGTCGAGTGGTTGGTGTTGATCCGGACATAGAAAGAATTCACTACGCCATTCAACACAATTATAAAGTGCATAAAAATATATCATTTCAAAATGGTGACAGTTCAAGTGAATTTGTACAGCGAAACAAATCCTTCTACGATATCCATTTCAGCAATTTTTCCTTTCAATGGCTTACATTAGATGAAAAGAAAATGTTTTTGCAAACGGCTTTCGAATGTCTGAAACCAAACGGGACAATAGCTCTCCAGAGTCACGAAGCCTATCCGGAAATAGCTCTCTATGTGGAAAGCCTAATCTCAAAGAGACAGAACGCTTTGAAGAATATTAATGATAAGAAACCGATTCAATTTTTTATGTCCAAAGCTGAAACAACATCCCTTATTGAGGAAATGGGCTTTGAAATCATTTCAAGTGATTATGATATTGCAAAACAACGATATGAAACACTAGACGATTTCCTTAACTTTTTTAGTGCCTCTGATTATCATGACACGAACATGATTTCCAGCAGCGAAAGAAAAGAGTTGATGGCACGTTTCGGCAACGAAGATTGCAGTGTGGATTTGGTGGACGATACAATATACCATATTATTGCAAGAAAAAAGTACAGAAGAGGTTAAGTAACTGTGTTTACTATTTCAGTTTCTTTGTCGTACTTAATTATAACATATTATAGTTATTATCAACGTTTAAATTACAAGCTTACAATTTCCTATTGGAATATTTTATCATTACAATGATGTATCATTACAAATAATACTAACGTCTGAAAACTTTATGGACGTCACATGAATGTTAAGTGTTTAGGTACAAAGTATAGTCTCATATAATTCAGATTTGAAAGTTCAATGAAATCAGAAATAATAGGAATGGAAATAATTTCGTAGTCATCAGCATTTGAATTTGTTTTGAGTTATTTTTGTAACATTTTCTTTAATGCGTATTGAGCAATGTAACCTTAGCGTTGTAGGCGTACAAGGTTTGCAGATGCTATACTCCGAAAAGCCTTTTTACCAAAGGTTTCAGCATCGAGATCCCTCTAAATATCGTTACAGTTGGGACATTTATTATTCACTTATTTGTACACATTTGTTCACAATAACAGTTATAACCAGAAACTGTTACAGTATTGCAATCATTCAGTTAGAGAAGATATGGAGTCGAGTATAGCAATTATAAATAAAATTTAGAATTAGAAGACTGTAAAATGAAGTAAGTAAATTTTTCTTTGCATTGAAATCGAATGCTTGTCTAAAAGCGCTTAATTTTGTATTTCCTTACCAAAACTTACTACTATACCAATTTGTACAATTGAAATACCTCAAAACTTCGTTAAAACTACCAAACCAATACGGCGTCATCAACTTTAAGTATTTAATAAACTAAAAACTTAATTAACAAATTCTCAGTGTTTTTGTCAGCATTATCAACACGTCGTACATTAATGCACGTGCCGCATGCCCTATAAAAAAAGTGTTAGACAATGACTCTTTATGAAATTAAAGTATAATGACGCAGAATGTGGACATTGGAATCATCGTCCCATGTAATGTAAATCTGTCATCTAAGGATTCTCGACGTTATGTTTTGTATACATACTGTACTTTAGCTCCATATTTTGATCATAAGCAAACCAATTAAGCACTTGACTATAAAAATCATCATAATCAACATGGTTGAATCATCGATTGCTATGTATATGTTATCAGGGAATTGAGTTGGTTGCATGTACTTTTAATTTTCCAAAAAATTTAAAAAAAAATATTGTCAAATTTTTATTCAGACAGCTTTAAATGAAAGCATTGAAGAATATCCAACGACACAAATACAAAGCAAATTAAAAAAGAAAGCAAGTGCATGCAATGTATTACACTTTAAACATACACTAATATATGTTCATAATTAAAGTAAATCATGTCGAATGTCTTCCCGTTTTTAAACACCACTGTATCTTCTCTTAAGGCAAAAAAAGAACAAATTTAGGTACTTTATTATTGGTGAAAAAGAATAAACAACTGCAACTATGATCTATGCATGACTTTTGTAATACTACGGAAAGCAGACACAGCAGTGAATATCCTAATCTTCTATCGCTCTGCAGTAATTTAGTATATTTGATACACAGCAGAACGTAGTTAAATGTTTGAATAAATGTAGGCTATAGATACATATTGCAGCATTCAGATTACCTATATGTTAAATGACGTAACAAAAACACGTTTCTGCAGCAGCGTATAATTTATGGAAATAATGGTGCTCATAATCCTTGTTAAACGTGTAAGAAAAATTCTTACGTAATACCAATTAATTAGTTGTATGAAAATTTATTACAATTGTTTCACTGATTTCCATTTTTAAGAAAGCAGTTTAATACGTAATCAATCAGTTTAACAAACATCGAAACAATACGTATACAACTTCGCAAAATTCAAAAAACTTAATATGCTGTCGAGAAAATGACATGAAAATAAAGTTTTTTTGAGGTTTATTGACGATGTAACCAAAAGTCCACTTTAAATTGACGTCAAGACAACAACGTACATCTATTGAAGAAAAATTACCTGAGCTAGTGTTTACATATATTATGACGTCATGAGTACAGGTGAAAGTTACATGAAAATGACTGCAAGTCGATGACTTCTTTGAAACCAAAGTTGAAGTGTCTAATGTAGATAAGATAAGTTGCTCGTACTTATTTCAATTATCACAGTGAATTGTAAATTATATTGATAGGTTTATGATCTTATGCGTTGATTGGATAAAAAATATGTTGAAAATTATTGAAACAAAAACACAGGAAAACGTCAGTATATGCAGTATTCAAGACAATTAATGTTTGTAATACAGCCTTATGGGATTTTGTGACTTTCAAGTGTAATCGTTTTCAATCTTTTATGAACAAACAAAATAAGCAAATATCTTACTTGTGAAAGCGATGTGCTCCTTTTGTGAATGTTAGAACATCCAACAATTGTACAACGATTCGGCATTTTAAAATATATTTTTGTTTACGAACAGAATTAACTGCAATTAAAGTTCGACTGGAGACTGGAAAATCAATATAAAATCACACCTGGAAATGTCGAAAATATTTTTTTCTGCATAGCAGTCATTCAGGGGAAAATAGGCACTTTACGTTGCCGCCATGGTTTTTGCATCATAGCTTTAGTCTCCTTAGCTGCTCCAGTTTTAATAGAACTCAATGAAAGAAACAAAAAAATATGTTTTTGCTATTTAATAAAAGGAAGGAAAACCTAAAAAATATAATCTATAATGTTTGACGCAGTCAGTGGAATTGTGTACATGCTTATAGTTTTCGGATGCAAAAATTTCCAGCGTTATCTGCTTATGTTAACCCAGAGACTGGCTGACTACAATTAATTGGACTTACATCATTTTTGATTCGTCATGGCATAAAAACAAGTTCCCAAAAGACATGATATCTTCATAATACAGAATACGATCCAACGATTCAAAAATATGCAGATAAATTTGTTTTACTCTACTTTTTAAAATTGTCGGTTTGACATGGTTTTTGACATGACGTGTAATGTATAGACTGCAGTTTTTTCATTTGAAGTGATAGCGTTTATGTAAGTTGTTATTCGTCGTCACTGTAGTAAATGTACGTTGAAACCTCGTTTTTAAGATTACGTTTACACAACTCTGGATCGGTCTGAAAACGGTAAAAAAGTAACAGAGCTAACTACACGGGAGCGGAATTTCTTTCCGCAGATGTGCAACCACACGTCAAAAAGTCACTTTTTCCGGAGAGGTGTGAGCACACTTTCTAAACGTGGTCAAACGAAAACTGATCGTTGAGCATCGTTGTGTAATCAGTGATATTTCTCTGCACTATAGATACCAGTCCTCTTCAATTCCTTCCGCGTTTTGGTGCATAATTGAAAATGGTAAACATTTTATACTTAGGAAAGCATTTAATGACGGATTTATTTTTACAAAACAATGTTTTTATGACTTATGCCTAAAGATATAAGCATGTAGCAATGTGTAAACGAGAAGTGGTGTCATTTACTCATTCTTCTACAAACAACTAACGAACCTTTAGAGTAAGAAACATTATATCTAAACACCCGCCAAACTTTATCGGTATTCTTTGAGCGTCAAATCATCGGTAGACTCTAAATTTTCATTTGGCAGACGTTGATACGTGAGGAGTAGTCTGTGTGATCACTTTAACCATGTTTCCCTATTTTTCAATTTTTTTGTTATACATCATGTGTAACCTAAAATGCGATTAAATATTTGCAATCACTAGCAATGCACGAGGCAACAACGAATTGCTAGAGCAACAGAACGTCTCTTTTCCCCCAAAAATAGTAATAAAAGCGTCATATACTTGTAAATAAATATAAATCATACCCCATAGAGTCTCATACCCCGTAGAGTATCATAACCCACAGAGTATCATACCCCAAAGAGTATCATACCCCATAGAGTATCATACCCCACAGAGTATCATACCCCATACAGTGTCATACCCCATAGAGTATCATACCCCATAGAGTATCATACCCCATAGAGTATCACACCCCACAGAGTATCAAACCCCATATATCTTACCGTCTCACGGCTTGTTTGTATGGAAGCCAAGCCGCCCGTTTACCGACATAGCCCGTTAAGCAAGATCTCCTTACGTAGTATATAATATATTAAAATTCTTTTTGTGTTTATATGACGACATGGACTGGTCTGCTTAGCGAGATCTCACATAGCACAGGCGAGATCTCGTCTGCCGGGATGAAATTTTTCTAATGTATAGACTTAACTGCCGAACTAGTCCGTTTGCCGAGCTAAATTTTAACTATTTGGGCTTGCGTGTGATAACATATTAAAATGGTAAAATACGTGCACGTGTAAAAGTGAGCAAAATAGAGACGAGGATGGTTAAAAGAAAGAACTTTCGCTGCGATACAAAGATAATGGAGCATTTGATTGATGATCTGTCTGATTATAAGTAAAAGATGTTTTATAAAAGCTTTGATATTGACTGCGAAAAACTTCTCGGCAAGCAAGATGAACGTCATATAAAACACATCAAAAATTCATCTCGCTTACCGGGCCAGCCCGGGACAAAATAAACAGACCCTCGGACAGTTTTGAAACAGAAGTTATTGATGATGTAGTATTTATAGCAAAACATAGTTTTCACTTTTCAGTGATACTGATAATGAACTTCTCGTTAAATATTGTGAGAATTGTTACTTTCCAGGTACTTTGCTTCGTACAATGTGAGCATATAAACTCGGCTGCGTAACATGAGTCTAAGTTAAAGCGTTTGACTAATTTAGAAATGATTTTAACAGTTTTTGCGTTATTTCAATCAGCATTTAGCACTAAGCACCTTTTAACAATCAATAAAATTTTCATACTTACTACGTTTTGTGACCATATATTTGGCAGGCTAGAGGCTACCCAGATGTACGCAGACGTATCTATTTCAATAGAGGCAGTAATTCGCAATACTATTCCAACATGAAGTATTGCAATTCCGAAGAAACTCGGCTCTTGGCCTGACCATCTTGTGGCCAAAAATTTATCATGAAATGTTTTTTTCTATATTTCTTGCCTCTGGCATTTAGGTATGATTAATTTTTTGTTTTTTTTCATTTTGACGTAAGATTTAAAATATGCTTTTACGAAAAATATGTACTGGTACTTATTGTTGCCTTTAAAATATGACTGACTTTTAAATTTCGAAGGGCAAACTCTTTTCTCTTGAAGCTTCTAACTTATAGACAGACTTCATTCGTAGCATACGGACTTAATTGTTAACGGATTGCATAGTGACTTTACTGGTAGCTTTATTCTTAACCTATATAATGAATGAACTCATTTCCCCCAGGTAATCATTAATAAATAGGAATTAATTCTTTAGAATATTAATGCATTACAATGTTTAAGCAAACATTGTATACAGCCAAGAATTTGGTGTCATGCCGTGTCCTCCTTAAAATACACTGTCCTCTGTGGAACTCTTGCAAGATTCACACCACATCACAATTTCCTTCTGATACAGTATGGCTCCAGGTTGTCCAGCCAGGTCAGTCTGATGCTTCTCCTGGTTTATATATATTTACAAACTATCATCGGTAAGTGTAAAGACATTTGCAAGTATTTGAATTGAGCAACCTTAAAAGTTGCTCATTTTGTAGAAGAAGGGGCATATATGCAGGGGCGTATCGAGCAAATAATTTTTGGTCACGCTTTTTTATGAAGAGCCACGCCCTATGATGTCGTGATTTTCAATCATACATATAGTAAAACATAAGTACTTTATTGAAGTTTAATGAACAAATTTTAAAGTGCAAACAAACAACATATAACTTTCTAACAACTCAAAATAAAAATTACTGTCTCAGGTTAAGATCTTAACTTCATCATCATTTTAGTGGCCATGACTTTACATGCAGCTATTAACTTCACCCACACTAAACTTAAGGTAACTTTTAGTTTTTTGACCGTACTCATGATAATGGATGATATTATGTTAAAGGAGAAATATCAGTATTAGCATAACTGACCTCAAAACTTTTAAATTTTCACAATAAAACCATAAAATAATAATACAACCACAAATATTCTGATTTACATGTGCATGTCAAGTATGAAGATAAATTTGATTTTTGAACAGTCACAATGTTCTATTATCACATCCTTTTGGAGTTAAAAGCAAAACATTTATAAACCTTTTCAAATCTTTAAAAATAACACACTTCAGCTAAATATTTATAATCGTGCATTACAAGGGGTTGGAAACTTAGTCCAAATATAGTGATAATTAACATTATCTTTGAATTTTCTTGTAAAAGGACAAAAAGCACAAATAGCTTGCAAAAAACCTTGATTGGTGAACTAAAAATACAGCTTTATACAATAAAACCAGTTTGTAAGCTAAGCAGGAAATAAAAAAGAAAAATGATATTTTGTTTACAACAATGCTAAAGCACCATTTAAATGGTCAGATATATTAAAGACAACATTATAAGTTTTTACACTGATATAGCAACTTAATTTTATCCGTCAAAACTAACATACACAAACCGAAGCTGTCACTCTGAAATGTCAGTACCTTTTAATAGGACAATACAACCCAATTATTCTTTGCCGGGTGCCTCAGTCAACTCCAAGTTACTCAGAAAAACTCCAACTATCCATATCATTTAAAAATTCATCTTGTATCATCATGTTTAGACCACAAATGAAATTACTTAGAATAGCTGGGTAAGATTACAGTTAACTGTCCATAATTGTCAATTAATCATACAAACAATGCAACCAGATTTCAAGTGAAACCATGCAAAATTTCAAGAAATTCACAAAAATTGCTTTTATGAAAACTATCATAAGACTTATCATGCACTTTGTATGCAAACTCTTGTCCAGACAATAAATTCAATCAACATTTTTATAATTTCACCATGCCCCTTCACTATAAGCTTAAATATGCAACATGCCTGCCTAATTTGTAAATGGAATGTACACAAGGTGCAATACTGTAACTATTGCGTGTCCAACGTCTTTAGCAATGTCGATTCAGACATATATTGTGCGATGTTGCGATGTCGTACTTTTCTAATCTGAGACTGTCTGGGTCCATGATGTTGAAGTACCACAAATACACGAAACACCGCAAACAAAACATAGCCTGCTTTGAAAAGTACAATAGAGTCAATCTTTCTTCGGAAGAAATGATAGCAACTGCAAGGAGTTCAAACCTCTAGCTAGTATAGAACTATACAATACATCACCAAAATGTTTGGGCTTTAAATAATTCATTAAAGTAAATGGTTTGAACCCGGGAGTATCGTTACATGTTTGTAAATGATGATCGTCGAGGTTAATAAAGTCCTGAGAAGGACTGTTTTTGTTGTTGTTGACTGACGTTTCGACAACCTTAGCGGTAGTCATCTTCAGAGTCAAATGAGGAGTAAACGTCAGGTTAGCCATATTTGTTATCTTGTTTGAAACGTCAGTCAACAACAACAAAATCAGTCCTTCTCAGGACTTTATTAACCTGGACGATCATCATTTACAAACATGTAAATAATTCATTGTTCGGCAGCTTGCCGAGTGGAGAAAAGATCGTCTTTCATGAAGTCATAGCTGTAAATTTTGCCTCAACTTCAGTAAATCTTAAGTAAAATACTAGCGTGAGTCTGTGAATCCGTTACAAACATATTAAGTATACCATTTTTTGCCGATTTTTAATGTCGAAGGCTCAAGTCGGGCTCTAGAAAATGAGCGTGACTAGATGCTTCAAATCTGCGAGTTTGAGCATGCTCAGAAGTCATTAGCCAATTAGATTAGGAATATTTTTTCTATAAAATATTTTGTATGGTCGGGCTGAATTTTGAGAGCCCGACTAAGCTGCGAAGAGCATGGAACGGCACACTGTTGCTACGCAACTTCTCATTAAATGCAAATTTTGAGTTTAATTAAACCAAAATCGTTATTTAAAGATTCAGATTATCCTCTCAACATCCGCAATAAATTGATTAAAACTATTTTGAAATTCAAACTCATTTATTTTGAATTTTTATTCGAACAAATTCTTTCTTTTGGGGGAAATTTTTGGTCGGCCCGACCAGTGTGACCTCTAGATACGCCACTGGATATATGGCTCAAGCAGGTTCTGAAATAAAATTTTTTCAAGTATCTACATAGATAACTGGGTTTTGGAATTTGGTATCCTTGCTTATCATCTAGTATCCATATATGGATTACATAACTAGTTGGCTTTTCTTATTCCTTGGTCAGATAGAACATAACCTTTGACTTACTCTTATAAGTTCATGATGAATCTTAAAGTTCCTTTTTCCATTTAATGAATGACAATAAGAGACCAGTAAAAACATTAATTGCTCTCCGTTTTTGTAAGAAATGTCGTATCCCATAAACATACAGGCAAAATATTCTCGCTATCCAAATAAATAATTTTTATTATCTTGTGGGCATCACGATACTGTCAGTAAGTTGGTAAGTCAGTCCGTCAGCCAGTTGGTAAGTCAGTCAGTCAGTTGGTAAGTCAGTCAGTCAGTTTGTAATTCAGTCAGTTGGTAAGTCAGTCAGTCAGTCAGTCATTGAGGATTTTTTGGGGGGGGAGGTGGCAACCGGCAGAATGAGTCAAATGATAATCTAAATTTTTACTGGAACAGTGAGGCTTAAATGCTTATTTCGGGATATAAGTCAAGTCTAAATGACTAAATATTAATAAATCTCAATAAATGTTAAATTACCAGCCATTCTTCTCATCTGCTCAATCACGAAAAGATGCAAATAAACAAAATATGTGGTAGACTGTAGCAAATGTAATCATTTCATGTTTGGTTGAATCCAAAATTACGTCAAACCCGAAAATTAAAGGTTCTTGCAGAAGAACACGTTTTCTATCACCTTTTTCATAAAAAAGGAACATAGGGAGGCGACTTCCCCCCCCCTTCACCTCCCCTTACTGTCAACCACTGCTCAGTCACTCAGTGTGATTTATTTTTAGATACATCATTAATGCGGGTGAAAATACATTAAGGAATTTTCGCATGGGTGGATTACCATCAAAGGGACTTGACAAGATGTTCATGACTGGCTCAACAATCAATCACATTGGTGGTCTGACGAACATGCTTCTAGCAACGCAAAATGATGGCTTTTCGGTCGATAAACTTGTCGATGTCTACGGTCCACCGAATTTGGATGCATTCTTACAAACAATACAGAAATCTTTCCAGTACATGAGTAAGTTCGAGTTTGTAAAACTTCACCAGATTGAGGAACGAATAAATTGGCTGGAAATTGCGAGTGATAATAATTTTCAAATTTTCGCCTTTGCTACAAGCGATGGTTCGCAAGAGAACGGTCGGACGATTTTCCCAAATCTTGCCGTTTCTTACGCGTTTTTATTACAAGAACCGCTACGAAGAGTTCGCATGGATGTAGCAGAAAATCTTGGCCTGGCACAGGACGTTTTGAGAAATGCTATGTCAAAGTGTCAAATGGGATATTCTGTTGATTTACCTTGTGGAACACAGGCGAGTTAACTATCCAATTTTAAACTTAGTGTATCATTTACTTGAACTGCTCATGTGTCAAATGGAAAGTTTTAATGAACAACGCTCAGCAGGAAGTAGCTACATGTTGTGAGTTTTTGCACTGTTTGAGTTACCATGTTTTATGTTTTAGTTTTCCAGAGTAAGGCTGCATGAAGCCTGGATAGCCTGTCGACTGGAGAGTGACTTTTTAAGCCTAATAAAAAGTTGGTTGTATTTTCTTCGCGAAAATTCAACTTTGTTTACTTTTTTTAATCTATTAGTTGCAAATCATCGTTTTTTTTCTCTTAAAGAAATTTTTGTAACGTTCCGAAGAAAAACATTACCATACACATGCTAGCCTATCCAGTTCTCATGTAACCTGCCCATAAAGAGTGCTAAATCCTTAACCCTTTACGTACTTCCCAAGTTTTTTTGGTCCTTTACGTTTTGTATGGTTTCCTTGATGTTGCCATAAGGCAACACTCGGAGAGAAAGGGTTAATCAGGACAAACATTACCAACTGTTGTTAACCTCAACTATCTACGCATATATTCTGTTATACTCTATATGATATGGCTATTTCAAAGACAACTTTCAAAGAAATTATGTGCTTTTAGACAATAATGCCGCAGGTTGATTAAAATTGTTTGAATATACAAGTATAAACTCTTGCAAAAATAATTTATAGTAACTAAATTGACGTATTTAATTTTTGTGCTAAAGGGTTTTTTGTGTTCTATTTAGATCAATCCAGATGACATCCTTCATCCGACGCCACGTCGACAATCATTTGTTGTCATAGATTGTCCATCAAAACAAGTCCTCAACAAATTATCTTCTTTCATCTCACGTGATTTCTTCTCAAGTGATTTGCACACTCACGTGGACATAGTAATTCACATGACCGGAAAAGATATAGCAAATTCCATGGAATACAAATCTTGGATGACAACGTTTGACCCAGAAACGAAACATCTTATGATGAATGATCACGTGGTTGAAAGACCAGCTTTCACCGTCTTTGATGAAGTTTATGATAGGTTAAATAAACTTCACGTGAACATTTTCCCGCCGCTGTACTATTCATTGTTTATGGATAAAATTCATTCTGGTTTTAAAGATTTTCCTGAGGGTTCTGTCCATTTTGCTGCTCCGACTTTGAGGTATAATTTTCGGCCAATAGCCTTTGAAGGCTTTGAACAAAACTTGGTGGCTGTAAAAGCTGTAAATGAAAAAGTACTGTCGGCAAATGGAAGTCGTTCAAATGTGTTCGCAAGCTCTACGTTGAGCAACGATTTTCAGGTTGTTTTCCTTGGAACTGGTTCCCGTATTTCATCAAATCTTCGCAATACTAGCGCGATTTTGTTGAATTTGAGGTAAGGGAAAAACCTTAACTCAGTAAACAAGTTTACTTTAAACAATCTTAGCTTTATATAAATAACATGCGATGGACATAAAACATAGAGGACCACTTTAGGTGATAGTAAGAGCTACGATATCTCGTTGCAAATGCATCGAAAAGAATGGTTGCAATTGAGAAAGGATTTCATACTTGCAACATGGAATAGTGAGCCTATTGTACTGAAATATTTTGTGGATTGCTAGATTTTCATGGTGTCTGGTACTGTATTGTGAACATTGACGTAGCCAGATCGGAAATTTTGTTATGCTATGTAAAGTTATATGTGTTTCTTACTAAGAAAATGATGTAATCTAAATTTTACATACCACGACCAAATTTGTACGCTGGCTATAACATAGACTGTACATATGTAAACAGGACGAGTGAGCTGTGAACTCTCCGACGTTTCGCTGTTCCTTTACTTTACTGAGAATTTTGTTTATGCAACTTTGGCATCACTGTTTCGTTATTACATAGTGATGAAACGTCCATTTTAATGGACTGTGGCGAAGGGACGTTGAGACAGATGTTTTATCATTACGGAGACGATGTGAACACGATGCTAAAGCGAATCCGTACCGTGTTCGTCTCCCATATGCATATTGACCATCATTTGGTAGGTTCGTACTTTTATATTATTGCTGCTATTAGTTTTACAATACTCCACATAACACGTTGGCTCAATCTTTTTCACCTAAGATACGTAAAACGAAACCTGTAAAATTCATTTTCTTCAATCGAAACCGATTTTAGACAAACCATCTTAATTGTTTAAAACCAGTCTATGGTTAGTCCACGGTCCAAATAAGTTTATTGTTGATAGCGTAATTTTAAATCTAAATGCCATATAAACTCTGTTAATTGTCAGTTTTGAAAGAATCAAATCTTACAAATCAAATGTGTTTTAGGTATTTTGGCTGAGCTCCAATCTCTAACCTGTTATAATATATGTTCATTACTGACGCAATCAATATATTTAATCATTTATGCATGTTAAACCATGAATATTTATCATAAATTATCAATTTTTAGGTTCTTGTCAATATTTTACGATATCGTTAGAAGATTATGGTGAGCTGCAGGAATGACTTTACAGTTTTGCATGTCTTCTTTTTATTTTGCAATAATTTCATGCCAAACTTTGCTGTTATCATAATTGCAAAATTACCTTTGTGTGTTGTAACAGTTGAAATTTTCCGGTACTTTAGAAGGTAAATTGTGTCATATCTAGGGTGATTCAAGTTTCGTAAGAATTATTGGTCCAGAAACTTTGGATTTATACTTAAGATATTTCGAAATGCTGTGTGGTGAAACTTTCAACTTCAGGTGAAAATTCTATCTTTCTGTGTTTTTTTGGGTTTTTTTTTCATTTCTTTTCATAAGTTAGCACTAATGACATTTGACTTTTTATCAGTTCCATAGCCACCTCGATAATTGTGGACCAATTTTCCTGTAAATGAATTTTTTTTCTGCGGATGTTAACATGCATATATGAATTACCTCCTCCTCTATTATCGAGGCTAGCTATGGCATTGATTTGTGTAGGTAATAGTATAGTTTCAAGTGCAATTACGTATAAACATGCACGGGTGAGTATTTCAAAGACTGCTGCCCAATAGCGTGAGTTCAAAGAACGATTAAAAACAGTTTACTTTGAGTTATAGTTTGCCTGTACCGTCCAACTCTGTCTTGTTTCGTTACTCTCTATAGCTTCAAAAAAGCTTCGTTCTACGGTCTAACTGTTAAAAACATTCCCCCAAAAACCGTACTTGCTCCTTTGTTTTTATTCTTTGCATTCTTTTGTAATTCTTGAATTTCAAACGATTGCAATTGTGGAAATCTTTGGTTATTTACAACTACCGCCATGTATTTTTTTGAATTGAAAAAAAATTTGTTTGGCTTTCACTGTTTTTCAGCCAATCAGGTTACAGTATTTATGGTGCAACTATACTTTTCTACTGAGCAATTACAGATAAACTGCATTGCAATCAACCAGTCACAGTTGAGAAATATCTCATAGCATATTATTAGTAGTTTGTTTGGGCCTTGTTCTATTAGCGAAATTTCTTAACGAAATTCGTGTATTTTTGTGCATGTGTTCTAAAATGACTAACTTATAGCAACCTTGTTGTTTAGTCGCTCACAATATTTGTTTTTTAGGTTCACTCAGTTTTGGTGGGTGAAAAGAGGATTGGGGAAGAAAGAAGGCAAACAATTTAGTCGCTCTTTGGGATTTTCTTCTGTAAGTTGATAAATTTCTAAACACCATGTATATTTGAATATTCGATAAAAAGTACTCGAGGTTTGATTGACTTTGGCGTACCACACAATACAGAATTCGAGTTAACTATTTTTTGCAGATTTCTGTTGTCCCTACGAAACATAGTGATTACTCTCATGGTTTGGTACTTGAACGCAATGGATGGAAAATCGTTTATTCTGCTGACACAAGACCTTGTAAACAGTTAATTGATGCCGGTTAGGAGAAACGGACAAATCTATTCTCTTTTTATTTCGCTATTTCTCTACTGCATCATTTTTTTTTCACGAGTAACGAAAGGAAAAATTTTATTGTGGTGATATGGCCTTATCGAAATATTGCCCAATCACATTAAGTTCTAATTGCTTGTCCTATAAAGAGCAGTCGTTTAGTTAATAACAGGTTTAGATGCAGCAAAATATGTTTTGCTACTTACGACTGGAAGATGCTTTTTTTGAGCACCAATAAAAATGAAATCTGTTCTATGTCCGTCTCCCCTGTCCAGGAAATGAAGGCAACCTGTTTCACCCCTTGTTTGGGCATTCGGCTAGAGCCATCGTGAATAGCGAAATCTTTTCGCAAAGACTGAGCTTTTTTGCTAATCTCAAAAAAATTTATCCTATTTTCAATTATATAACATTATCTTTTTTTGCGAACGCGAATTTCAATGTGTCTTTCGTTAAATATATCATAAAGGACTCGCGTTGGCAGTTTCCTTTCACGTTATCCGTCCTCTGAATATCTGGAAATTCTACTGGTTAACTCTAAATTAATTTCCGAAGACAAGTCTTTTCGCCACAATCATTGGAAGAAATATTTACTTTTTTGTTTCTATATGTGAAAATGCGACATTACTCATTCACGAGGCAACATTCGATGATAAACTGCTTTACAGAGCGAAAGAAACAGCTCATTGGTAATATAAGTGAGGCAAACTATGTCTTGCTCTTTTTATATTCAACTTGCTATTTCATTGTCCATACTCCTGTTTGTAAACCTTTGTGTCTCTCTTATGTAGTACCGTATCTGAAGCAATCAAATGTAGTGAACTGATGAAAGCCGAGTACACGATTTTAACACACATCAGCAATCGACATATTTTTCCCTGTAAATCTTCAAGACTGCCTCATAACGTGAGCTTCGCTTTTGATCATATGACGGTATGTTTCATGTCACGTTTCGATTGGGAAAAAAGGCTGTAAAATTAAAGATTGTACATGTCGAAATTACTGTTTTGCAAAGTATCTGCAAACGTAGCGAATTTTGGTGTTTTTCCAAAGGGAGTTTATCGTTATAGGTTGAGCAAAAAGATCTTAAAAATATTCGTGGAATAATGGCAAATGTTGAGAGAACCTTTGTATACCAATGGAAGAAAAAAAGAAAACAGAAGCAAGCTGTTAAATCAAAAGACTCTCCCATTCTTGTGAATTCTTAAAATGTCCATTCACCAACGCAGACATCAACTTGATATTTAGTGAAATACTGTTCTGCTAGAAAATGCCCGACTAAATATTTCGACTGGCGTAGCTACTTAACCGAACGAATGAATTCTTTGCCTTCAAACTTACAGGCTTGCAAGTAATTTTGAATTGAAATTACCTAACATTTAGTTTTATATAGCTAATCATACCACTCCAGAAAGTTTTTTTTACATTGTGTAGACTCAAGGTGTCTCAAAGGGGGTAATTTTTATACTTTCTATTGACAGATAGATAGGCCGACCCCGACAACTGAAGCAGATTTTTGCGTGGGGTTTAAGAAAAGCATGAACGAAACATTAGCACTATACTTACAAAATTACGAGAAAGGTATTTAAGAGTTATCGAAACACTCGGCAAGTTTGAGAAAACGAGAAATTCGTTGGCGAAGTTTATTGATTTTAATTACATTTCCCGCGCAAACATGCAACTTTCAGATGTGACAACCAATCAGCGCCTGTGTTTATAAAATGCTGTTTATGAAGTGTTATATTTACTGACTGTCAAGCCGATTTTAAATTCAGCCAACACTCTCTCGTCATAGCTTATAGCCAATGCTAGGCAGCGTATATCAGTGCATTTTGTTGCAATTTCGAACGATTTTGTTTTATTCTTGCATTGCATTTTTTAATCGCCACTTCAATCAAAAGTTCGAGAAATGCAAGAGATTGCTCAGAGAAAATTGACATTTCTTTATTTCATGACTGATATAAGTAGAATGCAGTTTAGCCTGCACCAGTAGCAGACCAGTAGCCATTTTACGTTAAACGTTAGATTGTGGGCACATATAGCAGTAATGGCGGGGAAATGCAAATCAACAACAACACTGCAAAACGCCATTTCCACTCTCGAGTCTCGAGTGTAAAAGCAAAAGCAACGTTATAGAAGAAAGCTTTATGGGTATTATGTGAATAATGGTTAGGGTTATGTCCAGGCCTTCTAAATTTTAATTAAATCCAAGCAATGGGCACAGAATAGATATCTGAACAGAATGTCCACTCGTGTTGGAACCTCTGATGTTTATGTGCCCCGCTATTCTGAACCAAATTCTTAGCAGACACGCCTTCCAGCAAGATACTTCCACTAGATCGCAATAGAAAATATAGATGTTTTACGAAAATTATCATTTTGCACAACAAAAGCTTGCAAACTTATCTTCTTTGCAATATGATAATTATTTGTAAAATTTCGTTATACGTTTGCTTTAAACGTGAACCATGAGTAAAATAGCATTCTGGTGCAATACTATTCCATATTGATTTTGTGAAAGTATCTTGTTGCGTGCGTAGTAAAAATATGCCTCGATTTTAGCCGAGTGGACCTTCTGTTAGATGTCTATTCTGTACTATGTCAGCAACTGGTGTCCTCTAGACTCTAAACTTCACTTGATACATGACCAATGAGAAAACGGATATCGCGGCATTTCAATCGCCTGTTGACGGATGACAACTTGCGGCAAGCTACTTGCCTATATTCCCTATATTCAGTCGCACACAGTCGCAAGTCGTGTTTTCGTTGTTTAATTTGTAAAAAATTACTTTTTGCTCAGCGTCAATAAATCGTGATTTATGTCAAAGATAGACATTTTAACCTCTTGCACTAAGGATGCTACAGAAAAACCAACTGTGCATCTTTTACCGTGCAAAATAGAGCACAATGGCGAAGCTGAAGTCGACGAATATTTTCAAAGTTGTATTAAGGATGATGGAAAGGGAATGAAGAAAGGTTTGATGATTTGCATTAAATATTTTATTTTGAAAACTTCAGCTAGCGGAATGTTGACTTTCTTGAGCGGGTGGGTAGTGTGAGTGAAATAACTTCCCCAACCCTCCCACTAGACTAGCCTTGATTTGAAGGGGGCAGGGAGTGCAAATTTCCCTGATACCAACCAATTGAGCTGAAACAACTGTCAAACTACACATTTCTCGGGAGTTTATACAAACCCACCTAAACTCTGACATTTGAAGGGACAGCGAGACGCACAAAGGAGCCACCAAAATCTACATCCAAACTAGACTGGTTAGACCAAACGACATCTCACAAAAACTAGGGCCTCCTCCCAACAAAATCATCCATAGTTCAGTTCCCCTTCTTTAGTAGTAAAGTTGCATGTTCATTCGTACCTTCCCTAATCAATTTTTCTGTAGACAATCCATATGTGTGATACATAGGTGTGCTAGATGTAACCACATAGTTACTTTAGAATTTGAATGTCCTTTTCTGAATTGTTGTACCTACCAAAGCCATCATTAGAGAATATACATAATATTGATCCTAACACAGTTTTATATGCACATGTGACTGGAGGAAATTGGAACTTGCCCCTTCAGGATACTAGTCGGCTGCTCTACCTGTTGAGCTATCAAGCCCACAGTAATTCCAAGGCCATCATTAGAGAATATACATAAAGTCAAAACATTGTGCCATCCAGGAAAACTGCTATTTTGGCGAGAATCTCTTATCCATATGCAGTTTAAAAGAAATTTGACTTGTCTCCAAACCCTGTGGGCAAGGTAGCTCAACATGTAGAGCGTCGGACTAATATCCAAAGGTGCGATTTCAAATCTTGTCCAAGTCACATGTTTTTCATGTGTATATAAAACCGTGTTAGGATTAAGTATTTTGTACCTACCAATTGTGTAACTTTTGGTATGAAGTAGTTGCTGGGATGAAGTATGTAGGATGCATTTGAATTTTCTAAAAAGTCAACTATCCTGAAAACACTTTCCAGACAAATTGAGTGAATATGTTTTTAGTAAAAAAGCTGTTCACTTAAAATCTTCTCAAACCACTCCCCAGGATTCACCTCCCTGTAATATGAGTCTGTGTGTAGTGTTGCTTAGCCTAACCATTCCAGCTTAACTTCCTTTAATTTTTACTTAAAGTTTCATTTTCGGCCGCATGTTAATGGGTGAGAAAGTTGCTATACCAGATGGATACAGTGGTAAGATAATGTTGATTAAACTGTATTGACATACTTAGTACCTTTATTATTTGCTTTGGTACTATATTAACATGCTTGGTACCTTTTTATTATTTTTTGCTTTGTTGTGTATGTGAAAAATAACTTCACTCATTGTACCTTTTGGAACAGCTGCATATTACCGTACCATATAAACACATAAACATTTATGATCTTTATGTATGTTACTCATCAAGTGGCCTGTGTACCTAGTCTCTGTGGCTCCCAATGTTGAGGCACAGCATATCCGTAGGAAGAGGCCATCTCAAGTGATTTTGAGGTCACTAAGTTAGGCAGCCTATAAATTTGGTCATGCTATGTTAATGCTGCTCTTCAAAGTTTTTTGATAAAGAACAAATGTGGCAATATGACAAAAGTGTTCAGCGCTTGTCAAAAAATCACAGGAGGTGACCTTTTGTACATATGTTGACTCAATAGCATATCAATGACATTAAATGCTTACAAATAATCACCAGTGAAAAGCTTCATTTTTCAGCATTATGTATGTATCAAAAGAAGCCCTTATTTGAGAACATGGCTCTCTAGCACACACTTGGGTTTGCATGGGAAAGTACAAGCAGTTAAGTGAATTTTTTAAAAGTTAGCAGATGCCTTTTGATTTGGGTCTTCAAAAACTCAACCCAACTTTAAAGAGCTATAAGTTTGTAAATTAAACTTTCTTACATTGCTTGCAGTTGCAGATATATAAAATCATGATATCATAGGGCACTGCAATTTAGTTTTGCTTTGGTTCTCACAATTTCAGAGGTTAATCATGCCCCTAATATAGTCAAAGTTGTTTACTTAGTATCCACCAGGTCTTCTTTAGGTAGTCAACTTTGTAGATTTGGTGACCATGTTACTTTTACATGTATGTAGTTGATGAACTTAGTCATTGGCATCAATCCCATTTTAACTAGGGGGACCGCATTCTTATATTCTGCTATTCCTGGGTAAATTTTTTTTCAAAACAATTTCACTTTCTATAGAAATCAGCCCTTCACAGATTATATGGTTTCCCTCAATTAATATTGATGCCATGAACTTAGTACACTTACTAAGTAGACAAGATAAGTATTCTTACCAAGGGCCTAGGAAGATCAATGATTGGGAGGAGGAATATTCATATATTCATGATAGGAAGTGTTAAGCTCTTTTGAAATCCATTGTTTTAAAACGAATATAACATGCTTATATAAATATTGCTCTCTCCCCTCCCCCCCCCGAATTATCGATCTTCTTGTTGTCTTGACTTTTACAATTTTGCCAATGACTTTTACTTAGTAGTAACCTTTTCAAGATCTGTTATCCTTTTTGGTTCACAGGAATGAAATGAATCTGTGTAAGTTTTTTATTTTAGGCTATCTTCTCAGGGAGAATCATAAACCTGTCACTGATGACCAGGTGAGCCTTCGATTTTAGTGAACAATATATTTTGTCAAAACATTTCATTAATATAATTATAATTTTTTTATAAGTTTCACACAATGTGTGTTTGGTGTATCTTATAATTTTATTGCTTTTTAGCTAATATTGAAACTATTACAAAACTTAATTTTTAGGATAGATCTTTTCGAGCTATAAAAAGATTTTCTGAATTCACACATTGGAATCTTGAGGACAGGCCTTGTTTAAATGACAAGATCAGAAAGGCAATGCAATGGATTTACATTTCTTCAGCGGTGAGAACTTTCTATAACATTCATCGTCATCAATGTCCATTAATAAAGTAAATGGTTTGAACCCGGGAGTACCGTTACGTGTTTGTAAATGTAGATCGTCCAGGTTGGTATAGTTTTGTTGTTGTTGCCTGACGTTTCGACAACCTTAGCGGTAGTCATCTTCAGAGTCAAATGAGGAGTAAACGTCAGGTTATCCGTATTTGTTATCTGGTTCTTACGTCATTGTATTGTGTGTACAGGAAATGTGTATTGTCATTGTGAATTAGTGTGAAGTGAAATATTTTTATTTTTAGTTGTCATGTGTGATTTAGGTGTGATGTTTTTAGTTGTAATGTGTTGGTGTCAATTGTGTATTGTCATTGTGAATTAGTGTGAAGTGTAATGTTGTTAGTCGACCGTTTGTTTGTATTGTGAATAAGTCGTTTGTAAGGTGCCGATAATTGCTGTGATCTGTTCAGGGAGGTTTGTTACCTAGAACTTAGAACAAACAACAAAAACAGTCCTTCTCAGAACTATACCAACCTGGACGATCTATATTTACAAACATGTAATGTCCATTAATGTTGTAGAAACTTCAGAAACTTTGTACGACGTCTGTCATTGATTCATGTTTAAATTGCTAGAGGTGGAGATTATCACATGCATGAAAAACATGTAGATCAATGGATAAGGATTATATGTGTGATATAGCAAAGTTCGATTTGTGTTATTGTACACAGAATTGTGTTTGGCAGAGAGTGTGTTCTGTCCTGGTCAATGTACTGGTACATTGATTTGTAGGGTGATAGGGTATAAGTTAGAGAGTAGTGTTGTGAGTTATTGTCCTGTAAGTTGTGTTTGGAAGAGTGCATCTGCTGTTCCAGTTTCTATAAAAGGATGATATGATTTATGTACGTAGTGGAAGGAGCAGAGAGCTGTGTTTAGAAGAGAACTTGTGCTAGTATAAGTGATTTCAACTGTCCAACTGCTGTAATGATTGAGAAATATACTTCAAGTGCAATTTCACTTTCCAACATAATCAAATCAAATGTGGTAATAGTGATTTACTTTAGGACTTACTCAATCAAAGATAATTCTCCAAAATAAGATGTGTTTTTTGCCAAAATTTAGATACATCAACCTGTGAAGACTGACACTGTTATGGCAAAAATTACATGACAATGGTCGAAGTGGTAATTTCTAATTCTTACCTCAGGGTGGAGAAGGATGATGTTTCAAAGTGTTCTTCCTCTGATGAACTAGAAGAAGAATGTACATTTCATTCAATTTCAATTTTTATTGAAAGTTTATCTCAATCATAATTGATCGTTAATCATTTAGTCCGATTGATTTCAATCCAAACCAAAATCTGTATATAACATGTACATTGGAAAGCTACCATTGGTGCTGCTTTCTTTAACATACGTAGATTGTGGAAGAGAAAGTGAGTTGTGGATTGCTTGAATAGTGTTATCTTTTGTCTGCAACACATGCGTATAGTTCTTTAAATTACAGCGATCTCGTGGTTGTCTTTTTAATAATATTTTATGAGTTTAAACTTGTGATCGTGCGTGAAAAACTAATGGGGTCTTCGATGTGTTCATTTTTTTTTTACATTTTATATTCTTGTGCGAAAACGTTTTCTGATATTTATACGTTTTCAAGGAACAAGTTATCCAAAATTCGTATCATTAATGGACATCATCTTTTAAGTATAGGAACAGTCTGGAAATTATTATACATACGCTTTTTTCATTGGTAATATATCTGGGCCAGGTTTTTTGCAACCCGCTTGTCTTATGTTCTGCTGAAAGCCTTAACACACCATTCTTACGCGCATCATTGTCGACACATTTTCCCTGTACGCAAATCTTCGTGACTTCATCATCACGTGAAACGTTTAAATATTTTCTGTTTAAACAGTATTAACTGTTTATGGAGTTAAATGAGTATTCTCTGCAATGATGAATGGTCTCAAAAAAGTAATCATTCAAAATTAACTGAAAGATATCGTAGTTTAAGATGAAAATAAGCATTTTTCTTACCGATGGCATAAGGACATTTGCCTATATTTTTCAAAATTTAACTGTTCTTTATTCAAAACTTTAAATAACGACAAACAGCAACGGCGAAAAACACGTTTCAGCGGTTAAGGAATATTCTCGAGTTACTTAATGTTGAGCACAAATAGTCAAGAGCAAACCAGTTTTGTTACAAAGTCTTTGGCGTGCGTTTATTATGGAATGTATTCGTAAGGCAAAAATCTTCCCATTCAATACAAAGTTTATCAAATTTCTTATTTGAAAATGGCGAATATCTTTGCAAACAGCTTGACTGTTCTCATCAAGCTTTAATATCATGTCGCTAAACTGCCATTGCTCCAATTCTCATCAATATAGGCACTCATACCATTTACAGGTTAATGTCAACAAACTTTTTGAATAAGAAACTCGACTGTTTGATAGTTTTGCTAATTTCGATTTGTCAAGTTCATTTTTCTCTGCTCATTATAATTATCGGTTAATAAATGTTTCTTTACTCACCAATGAAAACTCCTTAGTCTGCATGATGATTTTTTTGTCCTGGTGTGTACAGTGTGCTTTGATTTTCTATTCTAACAGTTCAAACATTTTAACTTTGTTTTCACATAAAAGAACTCTTAGATAAGACGAGCATAATAATTAAAACAATTTTTTTAAAAACCCCTTTCCAAGTGGACATAATTACTGAGGCATATTTGCATGTTTGCCGATATAAACAAAGATTTTGAATGAAAGTCACAAAACCTAGCAGCAATGCTACCAGTATTTACGTACAGTGAAAAAAGCAAAACGTTTTGCATAGAAATAGCAACATCTGTGTCGAGAAAAAATTAACTAACTATCTAGAGCCCGTTGTTACACCACTGTAACAATTACCAATCAAATTTGCGCAAACTTTTGAAAAAAGTCCGGGCTCTGCAAGATTTAAGCCAATGTATTATAGAAGCAGCATGGAGATAAAAACGAGAAAACAATATGAGGGAGTCCTATGAAAATGGAAATTGTACTGCGATCAAAAGGAAGCTAACCTGCTTTTACCGTCCTTGGCAGAAGGTATAAATTTTCTTGCAGAACTGTTTCAGGTAGGCATGGTGTGTAATGGATTAAACACGGCACGAAGTGCTCTCTCTGCAGTTGCTATCTGGAAAAAAACTTATCATTTGGGTAGCACCTTTGTGTACGACGTTTTATGAAGGGTGTTTTTGAAACAAGACCAAGCCTACCAGAACACAAACATATTTGGGATGTACGTACTCTCATTGAATTTTTACTCTAACTTATGTGTAGCCCCTCAACCTAAAAAACTTAACATTAAAAGTATAACTATGCCTCTGGCAATCATTAGTCTCCTTTGGCGATAAAATCCTCCACCCCCCAAACGTTGAACTTTGTCCCGTCACAGTATTGAAAGAATATTTTAAAGAAACAAGGGACGTACGTGACAGTAAAAATACACAATTATTGATTAGTTATTAAAAGCCACATAAAGCCGTAACATCTAATACTCTATCAAGGTGGCTTAAAGACATCTTGAAAAGGGCTGTTATTACTGACTTCACGGGATACAGCACCAGAGGCACCTTGTCGTCGGCAGCAAAACGGAGTAATGTCGATATTGCAACAGTCTTGCAAGCGCTAGATGAACAAATGCATCTACGTTTAATTGATTTTATAACAGGCCCCTGCAAAATAAAAGCAATTTTGGGCAAGCGTTTTTACACTCCTTTGCACAGGACCATATGTTGGCAAATATCGTGTTATTGTTATTCATTGCATGCGAGCTGTTTTTTCCAGAATATATTGATTCTATATGGTTTGTTACTATCACGTATGCTCATGAATATCTTTGAATATCTCACGTAACTCATTAGTGACGTAGTCCAATGATAAAATAGAATTTAAAAATTAAACGAAACTTACCTGTAAGTTGAAGTTTTATTGTAATTCTAAGAGTTATTGGACAAGGAAACTAAGGAGTCACCAACCCACATTAAAACCATAAAGACCAACTTGGTTTGTTTTCCCACTTTATGGGATTTTTTCGTTATGTTGGTATCACTCGCAGCGTTAAAGACTAGACACTTGATCTGCGTGCGCATATCTCATGTGACGCCTTACTTTCTTTGTTAAATAGCTTATAGACTTACAATGAAACTTCAACTTACAGGTAAGTCTCGTTTAGTTTCCAAATCTACACATAAAATACAGTAGTCACAATTTTCTTGGTTTCTTTGATTTCAGTAGGTAATATGTTAAAATCGGTGAATAAAAATATTGCTATTTCCTTTTAAGAGGTCTTGGATTGTTTTAGTCATCATTGTCTTGTTGCCAGAGTAACTGTTGTAAGTCAAGGTTATTCGAATATTCGAATTAATCTTTAAGACAGATGATCTTTACGATGCATGCAGTAAAACTACTTTAAAATATTGATTTAAAACGTACTCTTGTATAATATATTTCATTTTTATAGTTTGTTGTTGAAATTAATGGATGCTTTTTAATCAAATGAAAATAGTCTTAATACTCATAGTATTACTTATGAAATGATTGAAAATTCTTTTACACGTCGACACTTTAACTTCTATTTGTATTACGTACAGTGATTATGATACAAAACTGTTGATCGACTCTCCTGAAAAATCTGTAAAAGCTTAGAGTATTGAATCCTACTATATATACACAATTACGGTAGCCAATCCTGTTGATTTTTTGTATGGAAACTGCGTCGTTATTAGTTTTCTGTCTTTGCGTAATTAGCTTAGCATCGTGATTCAATCAACATCACAGAAAGATCTGTCTGAGATAATAATTCATGAGATATGTGTCTGAGATAATAATTCATGAGATATGTGTCTGAGATAATAATTAAAGTTACTACAAGAAAACATTTTGAATAAGGATCGTCAGCTAGTCAGGATTCGGATGACATTTTAATTTATCTAAAATAGCCTCTGCTTTTATTTATTCTCCAAAACCAGGACCAGTTATTCAATGTTTTTTCAATTTTTTGGGCAATCTCGGGACAAGAGCAGCAAACCACTAAATGCTGTTTAAACAGTGTGTATTCTACCTATCTGTATCTTCGGTGACGGTCGGATGTATAAACAATGGCGAGGAATGCAATTCTGGCAGTTTTCGGTTTTTCGTAACCAGTATCTTCATGGGTAGAGTAAAGCATGGGTATAGTTGTCTCAAAAAGAATCAATTTACAAGACTCCCCTTTGACAGTGCTCTTAATACTTTACATAACATGTCTAAAAATATAATAATTATTTTATGATTTACATTTCTAATGTGGTGCATTACGGTTGATTGGATAACAGATTGCTTGTAATAATTTTCGATAAATGTAATCATTGAGCAAGCAAGAAATAGTAAATTTAGCCCAATTTTGGTCAGCAGGTGTGTATGCATGCGTTTGCAATCTCATTATTGTTAAAAAGCTTTGTCATTTTGTAACAGATTTGCGACAGATGCTTGATATTTGTTCACCAAAAAAAGAATACATAATTCTAATTTGCATGAAAAAACAGTTGCACTATTTGTAGCCGTTGGATGTTTAGTTACCCTCTTCAACTTTAACGTGAGGGAACAAACTCGGTTTGGATATCTTGAGCTAGCAAAGAGAATTAACAAAAAACAAACAAAATATCGGTTTGTATTGTGGATAGCAGCAAATTATGGATTCTTCTTTAAATGAGTCAAATCATTTCTGTTTTATTCATGAGACTGCTTTTATTGTTCTTTCCAATACCCCAAACATTGGGTTATACTTCAACTATGTACTTGCTTTAGCAGTAGTTCTTTTATTTACTTTGCTTACCATTACTTTGAATCTTGTCACCGTCTTAACTTTTCTATCATCCAGTCATCTGAAAAGGAATACACTTTATTTCCTAGTTTTTCTTCAGTCAATTGTTGATCTCATAAATGGGACATTGGTTAATATTTTGTTCTTCTTAACAGTCTTACCATCAGTCTCGAACTTCAGTGTGAATTGCAATTTATTTCATGCTAACTTTATTATCCACTATATATACTTAGGTTCTTCTGTGTCTGTTCTGTCTTGCATGAATATTGAAAGGTTTTTGAGCATCGTATTTCATGTATACCATCGAAACAAAGTCACAAGACAGAGGTTAATGGCTTACATCTGTACAAGTTGGTTAATGTGTTTCTCTGTATGCGTCATGGGCACTTTAATTAAGAAAGTGCAAGTTATTCAATTCTTTTTTGCCATTCTATCTCTATTTCATTGTGTTGGCACAGTTTTTGCCTATGCTAAGATATTTTCCGTTGCAAGACAGTCTGTTTTGCAAAAAAACATTAAAAAGTCTTTGGACGAGAAAAGAATTACTAATTCAAATATTTGCAAAGAACGCTCAAAAATAAAACTACTGCATGTCCACATTTTCGAAAGAAGAACTTTCCTTCAGCTAATACATTTCGTAATAACTGCATGGGCCAAAACGAAATTCAAAGTATCCGAGAAGCGTTTGGCAACATTACGGCTTTT